TAGGCTGTAACTTTACTTTTAATTGAAAACCTGTTTCAGTTAGCGTTTTCATAACCGAATCTACTAAAGCGAGGTGTTCGTCAATAGCGTCTGTCATTATTAACACGTCATCGATGTAGACCATGACTTTTCCAGCATTAATGAAGTTTTAGACATAGTGTTCTGATAAAAATCGACGCGTTTATAGTATATATAACATACAATCAGATATTTGATATTTATATAACAATAGCTTAGGGACCTTCGAAAAAAGAGCTTACTCTTTTTTAAAAGGCCGGCTGCGTATCTGCAATTCCCTTGGTGTTGCAGTTGTTCATGGGCGGCGGTAGTCATTCACCATAAAGTGAGCCGCATGCTCGTTTACCCCTTCATTTGAAAAAAGATCAATTAAATAATTTCTTTTATATTTACTAAAAACCCTCTCAGAAATGTTAATATGTTGTAAGTTATGTGTCCTTAGTAAAATTTTTGAGAAGATTGTAACTAATCAATTGTCATATGTTGTGCGTAATCATATCGATGAAAATCAACATGGCTTTATGAAATCGCGCAGTGTGGACACCAATATGGTCATGTTTACAGACTTCCTTCTTAATGCAATGGATAATAACACCCAGGTTGATGTCGTGTACACCGACTTCTCCAAAGCTTTTGACAAAATTAACCATGACATACTTCTAAAAAAGCTTTGGAGATTAGGAGTGCATGGAAGTCTGCTTAGATGGATCGAATCATATATACGAAATCGCAGTCAGGCAGTCTGTTTGAATGGTTACTGCTCGTCTTTTCTTGTGGCCCCTTCTGGGGTCCCACAAGGCTCTCATCTGGGCCCTGTGCTTTTTTCCTTGTACATCAATGACATAGGTGATGTCTTACATAACAGCCATCATTTATTGTATGCAGATGACACCAAACTTTTCAGGACAATAAATTCTATTGAAGATTGCCACAAACTACAATCGGATATTGAGAGCTTATGTAATTATTGTGAAAGTAATCACTTGTACCTCAATGCAGATAAATGTTTTATAATAAATTACTCAAGAAAATCAAACCTCTTAACTTATAATTATACTCTTTTTGGGAAGGCTCTTAGTCGTGTTAGAAACATTCGTGACTTGGGCATCAACATGGACGATCAGCTTTCCTACAATGACCACATAGATTTAGCTATAAAAAGAGCTTTTAGAAGCCTCGGTTTCATTAATAGAATAACTAAACCATTCAATAAGACTATCACTCTTAAAATCCTTTATTTCTCATTTGTAAGATCCATTCTTGACTTCGGCTGTATAGTGTGGTGTCCATTTTATAAAAACCATATTGATAGAATTGAAAAGGTCCAAAAAACATTTATTAAGATTTTAAATTACCGCTGTGACCTTTATGGCGAACCGTATATTAACTCCCTTCATAAACATAAAATGTTGAGTCTCAGTGATCGCCGTAAATATTTCGATATCATTTTCTTGTATAAAATTCTAAATAATAAAATTGACTGCTCTCCTTTATTAGCCAAAATAAACATTAAAAGTAATTTTCGTCTGCCCGCTCGCCCTCAACGTGTATTTCAAACATTCGTACCACCTACACTTCGAAAAAAATATACACAAAACTGCTTTATCTCCCGTTCGTTAAAATTATACAATAAAGAATTTGTAAATCTCGATCTCTTTAGTTGCTCCTTAAAAAAGTCTTAAACGAAGTATCTTTAAGAGTTATTCAGATGAATACTTGACAGCGTAACATTCGGTAATCTCTACGATGTATTAATTATTGTCCCTTAAAAATGTATGTTTTTCAACTTTAATTAAGTTACCTATTTTAAGCTTTACTGTACTGTTGTTACATAAAGATAAATTTACTACTCAGCTTCAACTAACATGGGTAAATCTTTCAACAAGCTAAACTGAAATGTTATTCTAATGTATTTCTTCGGCACTCGTTGTCTATTAATTATGTAATGTTATAATATTGTACTTTCTTTTTAATGACTGTTTGTGTCACAATAAATAGAAAAAAAAATGAGGGGAGGCCTGTGCCCAGTAGTGTGACTTATATAGGCTGTAACTTTACTGTACTTTACTTTACTTTACTATATTTACTAAACGATTAGTAGGGTCTAGTCGCTACAGATCAAAACATAACAAACCAGGAGATGGGCAGCAGCGTCTTCGTAATTGTATTGGACTGGACGTAGCAATTATAACCAATATCGTTCTTATTAGGTAATGTGTGGGCAGTCCAATGTTTTGCAGTGAACTATGATAGGCTGTTATATTAAGTAAAGTTTAAAGTTTGAAATATAGTTAATATAATTTTAAGCGTATGCGCTGTTAATTTTATCTAAAAATTGGTTGAAGATGCTCATGAAATATGTGGGCTCGTTTTGATTACAATGTTATGAGAAAACTTCGAATAAGATGTAATAGTACCTAAATATTTCTATTAAATTATTATATAAGTTTTTTTTAAGATTAAGGTTATCCAGAAAATAAATTATGACTTTTCGGAAAAAAAAATAGTTATGCAAAAAGTATTCAACTCATACTCGAGTCAAGTAGTAGTAAACGCGACAGCCATCGTGTTTACAACTACTAGACCAACGAGGCAGTGAACTGTAATAATTGTGATAGAAGATTGTAAAAGTAGAGACACCTTACAGTCTAGAGGCCCTTAAAAGTTCATGAACATAAGATTATAATACTTAAAAACTTTAAGGCGAACCTTTTGACCCAAATTTTCACTACCAACCAACAACGTGTGAGGTCCCGGATTCAAATCCCAGGTCGGTCCAAAAAATTGTCCATTGAACTATGAGAGTGAGGGAAAAGTGAGTACACTTGCGCTTGCGCATACACTTGGACAATATAATCCCTAGTCTATGTTGAGACTGCTTTTAAACTCACAGTTTAAAAACTGCTAAAATATTGTTAGTCGTCAGAGGTGACAACGCATCTCTAACCTTATTCATCGAAGTTGCAGGTGCTCATGGGGTACAGAACCTACTATCAGATGGACTGTAAGTTCTTTTGTCACTTCAATCTCATATATATATATATATATATATATATATATCAACTTGCAGAGAAAATCCCTCTGGGTAGCTTGCTGATTCTCCTTGGTACTTTTTTCGAACCAGTGGCAAAAGTAGCGACTTTAAATAAGTAATATTTTTTAATGCAAGTGTATATATAATAGGCCGCCGTGATCCAAATTCGGTCTGGAGGACGTTATTATTTTTATGACAGGCCATCACAAGTCCAATGCTGAACATAGGCTTCCCCATAGATTTCTACAAAGCATGGTAAGGTCTTGAGCCACTTGCATCCATTCATTCATTTATTGCAGCCCTATTACAGGCTGTAATCTGCTGAATACTTGCCAATAGGACGATGTTGTCATAGATGCCATGCTTGGCAGGCGGGTGAGCACCGCAGTTTTTGTTAATATTTCGAGACATAGACGTAGATATTGACTTCAAATAGAAAGATAGTTCTAGGAAAAGCCGAAAGCGATAAACAGGAAATTTACAAATCAATCAAAGCGCGCCATCACCACAGAACACCTTCAAACTTTCTATTATTAATATTTCAAAAGTTGAAATTATAAAAAGAATAAATATTCGTTTGGTAAGTATAACATGTTTTATCAGATTAGTAATATAGATGCCATAAATATAAGTGCATGAAACAAATAACATTGCTCCTTTTATTATGGTGATAAGAGAAAACTATGTGTAGCTTTTCTACATATATAAATTGCTAATTTATTTTTTGTTATCAAGTTTATCAGACACCAGGGTATAAAAGAATTTCAAAATCACCGATAACGGATGTTATGCAGTGTGCACAAAGGAATTGGGTGCAAGGTCCTGGTAATTTTATAAAATAATAGTATGAAATAATTGTTTACGTATACACTTACGACAAATATATTGAATAAAGATAAAGACAAAGGTTTAAGTTTTACATTACGAGTATGATATCAAGAAAAAGAATGTTTCCAACTTGCAGTTCCATTTTTCATCTATTGAAAGCCAGTGCTTGATTAATATCACATCCGACGGTAAGTGGTTAAGTAGCCGAAAATAGTAAAGTGCATTGACTTATAATAGACTTCATAATTTTCTTGAGAGTTGTAGGCACGGAAATTAGGAATATAGATATGTATGATTCATGGCAACTGGTACAGATCCACTCTGTGGCTATGGCTACTCTGTGAATCCGACTGTGAGTCACAAGAGTGGATCTGCAAGAGAGTTCTGCGCATGCTGCGTGAAAGCATAGAGTCTTTAGTAAACTCACTCCATTATTTTCTCTCATTGCTTCTATAGGAAATTCGCCAGTATTTCTAACAAGAGCTTATACCGTTATATATAAACAATAACAATACATATAACATGTATTATAAATCGTTTCTAAATTGAATGATGTCATAAATTTCGCATGTAGTTCGCGCACAGCATTTTCATTATTGTGTTACATACAGCTTGCAAGTGATTAAGGATAATGACTTTTAATACGTTGGCATCTTATGACTGTCACAGCCACAAATCGACGATGTTTTGCATTTCAGGTAAAATAATTGTTAGGTATAAGTATATTTTAACAACCTGAATTAGGTATGTACAGAAGAGAAAACAATGACAAGTTTGCAAATATGTTTATTACTTATTTCTTAGTAAGATCCTCTTTTTACATATGCTTGTTTCCGTTATCAAACAAACAAAATGACTAACATAATAATCACAGACAGTTCGCTAGCAGTATGCCGTATTTTGCGCATGCTAACGAATTAATTAACTAAAGAGTTCTAATTATTCACCAATATGAACAAAAGAGATGTGTTTTATACCGTATCAGTTTATGTACTTAAAATAAATTATAAACTTAATTGCATCAAGAGATTTTAGAATTATTAAGGATATATTTTATTGTTTCTATGAATCGCGCAGTAACAGGAAAATTCGTAGATTTATAGTAAACACGGAGTCTCACCTTTAACCACCTCGGTGTTTTGTAGATTTTGCGTTACAGAAACAAACTTCGGACCAATGTGAACGCGGGAAGACTTGTTAACACTAAGGTTACCAACATTGGGCGTAGCTATAGAGGTAGTCAGAGTGGTTCCATCCATGGGCACAACCTCCGAAATGGTGCTCACGCGGGCCTGCGGCGTACCGGGTTGATCATGGTTATAATCATCTCTAGAAATCCACATCACTGCCACTAAAAGTCACTCAAACGTTTAGAGGTTTTGATTTACAAAATAAATATGATTTTATGACGTATTCCTTTGTTGCCTTTATACGCGACTAACTTTGTTCGCCGTCGCAATATGTATAATGATAAACTTAAACCTTTGAGTCACACAGTGTAGCGTCTTCCTACGTGTGCATAGAGATAACAATGCCGACAGGAATTCATATTGTGTATCTCTTTTACACTTATCTGTTTCGCACATAATAAGTCGAAATCAATTTTGCATTGGCAGTTCTATAGTATGTAATCATACTCATACTTTAATTCAATAAATGAATTAACGAACCGCGGCTTTGTAATGATTAACTTATTTATTTTGAAGTTTTATTTCTTGAGACTATTAATTATATTGTATGAATTACACTACTGTTATAACATAAACCGAAAGTGTACATATTTTAGAGATCGTTCAAGTGGATGGGTGATTACTAACCCGAGGGTGTTGTATTCGTTCAATATTACATTTAAATAAAACTAAGTCATGTAGATGTGTACAAAATAATAAAAAAAAAGAAACTAAAGACGAGATTAACAGTCACTGTAATTTGTAAAACATAGGGCTATGTTTTACAAATTACAGAATTTTAATTTTAAAAATTTATGAAAACACAACGAGGGAACTACAATTAATTTGCCGTATAGTATTTTTTATTATGTGCGAGCAGCCATGCAGGTCTAGGGAAAGATACCAGTATCACTGCGACGTAAAAGACCTATTGTAATCGCTGTTATAGCTATAGTTCACTGCTAAGCCCTATGTCTTCAATGATTAGAAAGATTTGTTTAGCAATTATTCACTTCTTCTGGGCGGAGTACATATTTTCCCAGATGAGTGTTACGTTTGCGCATTAAGGGTCCGCAATCAGTTAGTATGTGCAGAGACGTTTCTTCCATTAGGGAACAGAACCGGCACATCCTTGAGTTGCTTAGTTCCGGGATGGAAATATGCTTTTTAAGATAACAGTGTCCAGTTAAGGCTCTTGTCAGAATGCGCAATTTATTTTTATTAAGCTATTGCATAGCTTCTATCGCGGGCCTTGAGCGCGGGGACCGAATCCAGAAATTCCGTAACGAAAAAAAACCTCACGCTCCCCACTCCGACGGGCACGGAGGTGTGGCGTTGAAAGTCGTGCATCGTCTAACGTCGTTTCAGTTCGGCAGACTTCGGCACTCGGCAGACTTCGGCACGGTGTTTGTGTGCGTGCGACTAGACGTATGCGTGTACACTAGCTGCTAACTCAATGATAAAAATTCCTGAATAACCTACATGTATTGTAAGATATTAAAAATATTTTAAGCAATATTAACTTCTCATTTATTCAATAAGAGAAAAAAAATTGTTTTCTTATCGGTCACCACGCTCAAAAAGAGTAACTTGATTTAATATCTTAACTGCATAAATAAAATAAATAAATAATTATAATTGCATAAGTTGATAAAAAATGCCATGCAATAGCTTTACCGCGGCAGTCACCGAGTGCCACACGTATTTTTTTTCTAATTTACGATCAAAAGCTCGGATTAAGGTTTTAGAATGTTTTCAGCGTGGTATGTCAGACCAGAACTTAAGTGATTTATTGTGATAAAAAATTTCAAGGGTCAATCGGGATAGGCTTTTTGAGATTCCACAAAAGGGCTCCGGTCCAAATTGTGTACATATTGGGATGCAACCCCAGTTGTTCCCGAAAAAACAACTGCACGTACCTAAAGTAATTTTTGCCATATGGCATACGTTGCTAAGTTAAAAGTTCCTCGTTAGTTTTTGGTCGATTGTTACGTTCAAGTATTTAACTTCAGTGGATCATGGTAATACTTTACCATTGAGTTTTGGTGTGACTTATTTGTCCAACCGTCTCTTTTTAGTAAATAGAAATAGAAATAGAAACTTTTTTATTCAATGTAGATTATAAAAATACTTATTGAAAGTCACTTTTTTAATTTACCACTGGTTCGCAAAAAAAACCTCTGTCCTGGGAAGAACCAGCAAGAAACCCAGCGGGACTATTTTTTTTAATAATAGCTTACAATCATGTTTACAATCAACAACACAAGACAAATTAGAAATAGCTTGGTAGCGATCACCCTTCCCAGGGGTTATTATCATCTATAAATTCCTTAATATTATAATAACCCTTTTTATACAAACTTAGTTTAATAACATTTTTGAACTTTGTGTATGACAAATTTTGTATATTTTCTGGGATTTTGTTGTAAAAGCGTATACATCGCCCCAAAAATGAATTACTGACTCGGTGGAGTCGAGTAACTGGTACTACCGGCTTGTGTCTGCTCCTAGTATTTACAGAATGAATATCACTTATTTTCGCAAAACTACTTTTATTTTTGTGTACGTACATTACATTTTCATAAATGTATTGAGAGGCCATAGTTAATATATTAATTTCCTTAAATTTTTGTCTCAGTGACTCTTTTGGTTTTAAATTATATATTGCTCTAATGGCCCTCTTCTGTAAAATAAATATAATTTCAGTGTCAGTCGCGTGTCCCCATAGCAAAATACCATACGACATAATGCTATGGAAATAACTGAAGTAAACTATTCTAGCTGTTTCAACACTGGTAAGAGTTCTAATCTTTTTTTACAGCATATGCTGCAGAACTAAGTCTGCTAGCTAGTTTTGATATATGGGGGAGCCATTGAAGCTTTGCGTCCAGTGTGATTCCAAGAAAAATGGTGGTATCAACAAGACTCAGTTCCTCCCCATTTAAAATTACATTAGTATTGACATGTTTAACATTAGGAGTTACGAATTTCATACATTTAGTTTTAGTTCCATTCAAATGCAAATTATTAACATTAAACCAATTAACTAACTTAGCTATAGCATTATTTACTTCGTCGTAATTTAATAACTGTCGTTTTAATTTGAAAATTAATGAAGTATCATCAGCAAATAATACTATATCATGGTTATCCCCTACTATGTAAGGTAAGTCATTGATATATACAAGAAACAGAAAGGGGCCGAGAATTGAGCCCTGAGGCACGCCCATTTGTACAATCGACCCGGAAGAACTCATACTATTAATAACAACTTTTTGTGTTCTGTCACTTAAATAAGAAATAATTAATTTAAGAGTATCATTTCTTACACCGTAGTGTTGAAGTTTCCTGATTAATGTTTCATGGTGAACACAATCAAAGGCTTTGGATAGGTCACAGAACACACCCAAAGCATCCTGTGAATTCTCCCATGCATTAAATATATATTTAATCAGCTCAACACCAGCATCAGTTGTCGAGCGACCCCTTGTGAAACCAAATTGATTTTTATGAAGTAATTTATTTATATCAAAAAAAAAATTAACAATTGATCAAGAATAATTTTTTCAAAAATTTTACTAAGTGTTGGCAGTACAGAAATAGGTCTAAAATTAGCGGGGTCCAATGTACTACCAGATTTAAATAAAGGTATTACTTTACTATGCTTCATTAAATCAGGAAACACACCAGATTTGATACTACTATTAAAAATAATAGATAGTTGAGGTGCAATTGTATCTGTTATAGACGCAATAACTTTAACAGAAATCCCCCACAGATCGGCGGTTCTCTTAATATCAATAGTCTTAAAATATTTTACAATATCTTTTGATGAAACTTTATGAAATGTAAAATTCTTTGTACACACATTTACATTTTGTTTAAGTAATGATTCGGCGACGGTAGGAGAAGAATTCAGTGACTTAGTGGTTAAGTTAGGAATATCAGTAAAATATTTCTCAAAAACTATTGCAACGTCCTGATCTGATTTAGTTAATTTATTGTTAAAACTTAACTGGTAGTTTGAATTGCGAGAGTTGACCTTACCAGTTTCACCATTAATTATACTCCATGTCATTTTAATTTTATTAGAAGCAGTCTTTATTTTGTTGCTTAAATACAATGATTTGGCTAAGGAGCACACTCTTTTAAATATTTTGGAATATTTTTTTTACATATTCCCTAAATTCGACGCTAGGATTATATGACCTTTCATTGTAAAGTTCATATAACCTTTGTCTACTCTTCTGGACTCCTACCGTCGCCCATTCATTAAAAGCTTTACGATTATTCAAGGAGAATGTTTTAGAAGTAAAAGTATTATTAAATTCATTGCAAATGAGCTTAAATAATGTTGCATACAAAAAATTTGGATTATTTTGGTATGAAAGTAATGGAAGTATTTTTACTATGTTACTTCTAAACTTCTCCAAGCGATGTGTATTTACTGGAACAAACACTACTTTTTTTATCTACTTGCTTTTTGTGAACATAAGGTAATGAAACAAATTGTCCACAGTGATCAGAGCTCAATTTTTGAATTATACATTTATTGAACGGCTTAACATTTGTAAAAATGTTATCTATACATGTTGCACTAGATTCAGCAATACGTGTTGGCTCCAAAAATAAATTAAAAAGACCATAAAATTTAAACAATGATCTAAACTTAATATTAGTCGAGGAAGCTTCTAGGAGATTGATATTAAAGTCTCCACATATTACAACAGATTTATTCTGTTTATTAAGCTTAGCGAAAACTTCCTCCATAATTTTTTCAAAAGTATCATATAAAGAACATGGGGTCTGTAAACGCTCACGACAATAAAGGGTATCATAACAGTTATATCAGCAGCAACTGATAAACTGTTATCCCTACACCAGTTATTTATGGTATTTAGGGCTCTTTATATGATTCATGATAAAGTACTTTGGCAAAAGCCCCTCGCAGTGATTACAAGGTCATCAGCATAACCTATTGTGTCAATACGAAGGTCTGCTATCTTTTAGAATAGTTGGTCCACCGCAAGAGTCATATAGTTATAGTGCCAAACACGGCAGCAGCCTGCAGAATGCAACTGCGACGTGAATGTGACTTTCACCACACTCCGGACAGGACGATGGTCCGACGAACCTAAAGGAGCGTCGACGGAAAACTGATATCCGTCCGGACG